TGGACAGCAGAAGAGCATCCTAAGGGCTCAGAACCCCCTGCCATTTAATTATTAGCTATGACCACTTTCCTCATCTACAAAGATGCAGATGATAGTATCATAATCCTCCTTGTCTGTGCTTTTGCTTTCCAGATTTTCAGTAATCCAAAGTCATCTGTGACCCCCCTAAAAAAATTAAACGAAAAAAATCCAGAAATAAATAATTCATAAATTTTAAAATAACTATTATTATAGTATGCTGTTATACTTGTCCTATTTACTATCAGTTGTTGTTGTTAATCTTTCATTGTGTCTAATTTGTAAATTAAATTTTATTAGCTAGGTATGGTGGTGTACACGTAAACCCAGCTGGGAGGCTGAGGCAGGAGGATCACAAGTTTGAGCTCAGGCAAGGAAATTTAGGGAAGTAGTGAAAACTTGTCTCAAAAAAAAATTTTTTTTTTTTTGGAACCGGGGATCGAACTCAGGTCCTTGTGCTTGCAAGGCAGGCACCGGAACCACTGAGCTAAGTCCCCATCCCTCAAATTATTTTTTAAATTTTTATAAATGGCTGGGAACGTAGCTCAATGTGAAGGCCTTGGGTTCAATTCCTGCCCTCTTCCCACCATGTTAAAAAATCTGGGGTATGTCAGTATAGGGAAAGTAGTATACGGGTTTGGTACTATTTGCGGTTTTAGGCATCCCCTGGAGAATGGAATCCCAGGAAGAACAGAGGAACCGCCCCGTTTTTGTGAGAATGCGCTGAGTTACCCTGAGAAAAGCCGCTCAGGAGGCGGCTGGCTTGAGGCACTTCCGCCTTAGGTTATGTCCCGATTCCCCGGGGTTGAGACCGACCCAAGTGATCGATCAGGAGGAAACAAAACAGGGCCGCTCAGGGCCGAGGGGGTGGCTCGTGAGGTCAGCGAAGAATCCCAGAGGATGTGATGCTTCTACCAAGCCTTGAAACCCGAGCTGCTGGCAGTGGGTGGAGAACAAAAGGGCTGGCACCTGGGGTGACCGGACGTGGACGTGGGGTCACTCTCGGGGCAGCGAGGTCAGGAGAGGGAGCCGGTGGACGCAGAGCCACCCCGGAGGGCCCCGGGGGCCGGGACGGCAGGGCCCAGGGCAGAACACGAGTGGGCAGGGTAGGCACAGGAAGTGGTACCGGAGATGAGGAGGGTTGGCAGGAGGCACAGGCCGCAGGGGCTGCCCAGTGTGGCCGCGGGGGAGAGGGAGCTCGCACACACCGCCCGGCCGAGAAAGAAGGGGTTAGCAGTTCCGACGGCGCGTGAAGCACCTGCAGATTCATGGTGTGCCACGCACAATGCAAAAACGAAATGTCCAGGCGTCTCTGAGATGGGGGTGAAAAATCTCCCCCATACAGGAAACCGAGGTTCACAGGACTTCAGCGACGCCCAAGTTCCCAGCGCGGAAGTGCCGCTCTGCGCCTCTGGTTTTCAGTTCTTCACTCGCATGCCTGCTTATGATCTGCTGTCCCCAGACAAACGAACCCCTCCCTGCAGGGCCCGCCTCGGAGCCTCAGCCCCGAGAAAGGCCCAACAGACCCTCGGCAGTTGAATCAGATGACAAACCGCCTCACATGACTACAGATGCTTCCGCTTTGAGTTTATTTTAACTCAGCCAGGAACTTCAAAGGAGCATCATTCCTGAGTGGCTTGTTCATGGGTGTGTCACGATCCTGCTATGGAGTCGGGAGCAGAAAGCAAAGGGCAGGTCCAGAGACCAGAACATCTGCCCTGTGTCCTGGGAAGTCCGGAGACGGCTTCCCTGTGAATCGGAGGGCTTGGTCTCCCTCAGCATGGGCTGGAGCTTAGGACATCAGTCCTGCCCTTCTGTGGGGTGGATGAGGCACCCCAAAAAGTATTCCCATCCCTGGGAAGCCATTTCCGCAGCTCAGCGTCTGTCCGTCCCCCACCACCAAGGGAAGAGTGCATCAGAATCTCAGCCCTGCTATCCTCCTGGCTGCCTAGGCTTCGGCAAAAATGAGGACAAAACTAGGGGCTCAGAGTCCGAAGTAAACTCGGCTTGGTCACACAGCCAATTGTCTCTGGAGCCACCTGGCTGCTCTGTGGCATTCGTGGCTCTTAAAAGACTCTTGTGTGAGGCCCAGGTCCTTTCAGATGTTGTTTTTTCTTTTCTGTTTCCTTTCTTTCCAGCTGCAGGGGTTGCGGTCAAAGGTGGAGTTAACTGTTTTGCACCACCGACCTGCCTTTGCGTCATCCGAACACCAAGTTCCGCCGGCAGAGGAAGTGAGAGGTGTCCGATTCTGTCATGCGGGAGGCAGCTGGGCTGCTCAAGGCATCACCAGTGCCTGATCCGGGCTGAGGCTCCCACGTCTGTCCGCGGGACCATGTCATTGCCCCGTGCAGCTGGGGCCAATCCACATTCAAAAGGAAAAGGGAAGGGGGTGGGAAGAGAGGAAAGGAAACCGAAAGCAGGACAGTGAGTGGCCTGCCCCGCCCGTGTTTACTCCCCCAGATCATCTGGGTCTCCCTTGGGTCCAGTACCCAGGAATCTGAAATGCCTGGGTTCTGAAGACCTAGGATTGGGGGGGCACTCTCTAATAAATATTAAGCACAACAGTGAATGTTTATTTAGAAGATGGGGAGGGAAATCATAGCAAATTGCAGACACCCCGCAGTTTTGTCTGTAAGCAGTTTACCAGAAACGCCAAGCCACGCCTCCTGTCAGCAATCCCTCCCTCCCCGGTGCGGACACTGGTGGTCCCTCCCTGCAGTCCCAGTGCCTAGGCACTCCCTTCTCTTCAGCATTAGGGATTGGGCTGGTGGGTGTCACCTGGGCAGGTGTTCCTGACCTCTGGAGAGCCTTCCTTCCTTCGAGAATGGAATGAGAGTTTGCGGGGCAGTGCGTAGGTACTCCCGGCCTCTGAAGTTTACGTACAATCTCAGGGGCTCCTAGACCCTCTATTCCGGTCCCCAGGTGGGGAACTCTTTGCCTGCTACCTTCCTCTCATTTCGTTCCTCACATGCAGCAACACAGACCCAGAGGGCGAGGGACGTGCTCATGGTCACCCAGGAATCTGGGGCCCAGTCAAGACTGGATCCAGCCAGATTCCCTCTCCTTCTCCAGGGTCACGGCAGCCCTTCCTTCTGTGCCAGAATGTGGTGGCGTCCAGGCAAGGAGAGCCTGAGTTATGGCCCCTCAGAAGGTTTTCTTGTGTTTTCTGTTCTTTTTCCCAGATACTTTTGTTTCATGTCGAGGGGTGAGGGGAGAAATGGGGGCATTTAAACCTAAACGCAGGCTGGATAAAAGATTGCTGCACATTCGGAGTAAAAATGCACTAAGGAATGCAAAGGAGATGGAGGGGAAAAAGGAGGAACAGTAGGCAAATCCCATGCAAATCCCGAGACAACTTGGGCTGTCCTGTTTGGTACCCAGAGACCTGAACACTGGGGAAGCCCCATTTAGTGTCCCACACGAGGGGCCCTCCCCGAGCCCCGTCCTCTCCCCTCCTTCCCAGCGTGGGTGCTCAGTCCGCTCCGTACGCCAAGGCTGTATGCTTTGCAGATGAAGCTTCTATCCCCAACCAACTGGGATCTCCAGGCCCCTCCCCACTCAGCATCTGGATCTTCTCCTTCACAGCACAGGATCCCTCTTGGCTTTCGATCGACTCGTTTAGGGCCCTGTCCTGTGCAGGACACGCAGCTCAGTGTGAGCAGGGTCTGGGTCCTTGGTGCCTTTGGCCTGGCATATGCAGCTCCCACAATCACTGGCTGATGTAAAATGAATGGTGGCATCCGGTGGTTTGGACTGAGGCTCCTTGGACAGATGCCTGCTCTGGGGGTTCCACCCTTTTCCCAAGAGTCCATCTGTGCAAGCTGTGAGGGACCCCAGCCCACAGCAGTGGCGAATGTGCCAGCAGCTGTCAGCCAGGGTCAGGAGCATGGCTGCCAGGGCCGTCCCCTAGACGATGGCACTCGGCATCATTAAGAAACTCTGAGACAGCTCCTTCTTCGGCTTCCCCTCCTGCTCACCTCCAGATAACGAAGTGTCCGAGAGAACAACCCGTTATTCATACTCAAATACTGTTTTTTTCATTGTATTTAGTTTTGGGCAGTTCTTTTGTTTGTTTGTTTTCCTGCCTGACACCCACGACTTCATGACTGATGGGGTGTGTGACTATCTCCTAAGAGCCAGGGAGCCCTGATCAA